CTGTTAATTCAGCATGAACTGTAAATCCTGGTATCCAATCTTTTGATATTCTAAATTCAACAGTTGCTGAATCTTTACCAGATTCTATCTGAAATTGTATTGGTTGTGAAACTTGACCATCACAATCGAATATAACTAAACCACTAGCAGGACTAAATGGTGCTAGTATTAATAATTCACATATGTCATTTGGTTGATAATGTTTTGTTTCACTTGGAATAATTGTTATTGTATCAGTTGGAATGAAATCAACTTTTTGTTTTTTTATTTCGTTTTCATAACCACCCGAAACGTAATAGTTGTCATAGAAACTCATAGCTAATCGACCTTGTTCATCTTTGACACTATATGATATATTGTAACTACCCCCTAAGAATACAGGTAAAACAGAAATTAGAAAGAGTTGTAAAAAGAAGCAACTTCTAACTGCAAATCACTTTAGGACTAGGTTAAATTTTGATTAACAGAAACTTTTTATTCAGTTGCTTTTGCCTCTTCACTTTTTCAAAAAAAAAAATAATCTTCTATTAACCAATTTGCTCGACTTGTCTTCTCTTTGACTAAAATAAATAAGTACAGTGTCAACAAGGTTTAAAATCTGAGAAAATTTGCCTAGCTTTCTTAATATGTCAGTGGATAAAGTCGGACAGTCAAAGACGTTTTGCATATGAAAAGTAATGCATCCTTTGTGCCGCCGCAGCTTTCAGCCATATTCTACAGCACAAGATGACGCAGTACAATCATTTCTGTAACACTTTGTCATATGTGCATCCAGAGCTGTGCTGGTTAGTATCCTGAACGGAGTGAGTACGCTCATAGAAGTTCTCCTACTTTGCGCTCTCCCTCCCTCTTCCACATTTCTTACTTCTCTCAGAAGGGGGTTATTTGAAGGAGATGGACACTAACACACATACAGATCTCAAATCTGAGACCGACGGGCGAAAGTGGGAGAATTGCACTACATGGAGAGAAAGGAACGAGCGATCGCACATATGAGCAGATCTCCGTCTAAGAGGCGTAGTTTTTGATTTGTAGTTTTAGTTGTAATGAGTCAGAATAAACATGAAAAGACATTATTTGTGTATCTCTAAGGCAGCTAGTTTATGATTGAAAACATACAGAACTATTATATACTTTGGTATCTATGAAGCATACAACTAGTAATATCGTCAGTTTGATTATGAAATGTAACGCCTGTTGCCATCTAAAGTGTACACACTACGTTTCATATACACATACGCGCAAACAACGTTTTACAAATACGTTAATTGAATGAGAAAATCGACTATTTACACGCTGGTAGAACCTGATAACATTGCTTAGCTTGTATTTATAATCATGCGAAACGGTAAAGCAATCACTTATCTGTCTTGAGTTTCAGAGTTAAAAATGGGCTTTCGGGACATCCTTCCTATTCCAGTCGACTCTGAACATTCGTTAGACGCACCACTCATGACACACATAAAATAGATTTCGTGACGTATCTGTACAACAAGGGTACAAGTCAGTTGAAGAGAGAGCTTCTACTCTGGTCAGTCTCAAGTAAACATCAGTTATGGAGTAACGTTTTGTACATAAGATCCGCTTCTAAATTTTCAAATAGAAAAAATGTTCAGTGTATTAACACAAATTCTGAAAGTGAAATAGATTCGCTTATAGGACATTCATCTTCATACGCTAGTTTAATTATTCTGCTTGAGAACATTTTAGTATATAAAAGCAGACTCTGATAAGGCTCGCTTTTCATTTTACCATCACAAAACAAATTGTTTACCTAATTTTGGTGTAAAATCAATATTAACTGCATCTTTATTTGAACTAACAAGTGTTAATGTTTGGTTATCTTTTACTTGTTCAAATACTATTAAACCATTCTCATCTTCTTTTTTTTCATTACCATTTCCAATTACCTTACACTCGATCAAAACATTATCAATTAAATTTCCATCAATATCTGTTACAATGACTTTTGTTTGGACAGATTTATCTTTCTTGCCATAATTTGATATTAATTTAAATCCAACATAATATGTACATGGATGTATGATAAACTCTGTTTGTGTTTCTTGTGTCTGATAATTTAAATCAGTAATGGCTGCTAATGCACGAACAACTGTTGTTCTGGGCTCTTGTTCAATACCATGATAATTGATTTTAATTTCATGTAGACCTTTATTGTTTGTTTTACCCTAAAAGTAAGTACATATAATTCTGAAAGAAAAACGTGCTGAACTGTTATTTACTTTAAAGCGTTCAAATAAGACAAGTAGCGCTCATCATTCTGATTCACTTATCTCTTGACTGGAAAGGACTTGCCAGTATCAAATGGAACTATCTCAAGTATGCTGTGAATTTTTCTCTGATTTCATGTGTAAGCTTCCTAATATAATGTAATGCTAAAAGGTTTTCACGTGACCCTCCAAAGATCCCAAGAGGTCTAGCACTATTTCTAAATTGAAGACAATGCTCACGCCTTTCTTCGGTCGGCGTTCGCAACCAGGGTATCTAAGAAATATTACGAACTTCTCTCATAGCGCACTATCTGGTATCAAGGTAAAACGTGTTCTGGACACCCTGTAAGGATGCCAAGGGCCCTGGGAGTATCACTAATCGATTCGCCATGATAGACTACCTATATTCTGTAAGTTTTGTTCTGCCCTAGATGACTCTTTGCTGTTATCAAACTTGGCTGATTTCTACCGACATCCACCTCCGAACTACAGGAAAAGGTTTGCTTAGCTTTTCTTTCTCTGCATCAGTATATATTTCGGCCATCTGTCGGAATATTTTCTCTCTCGTAGTTAAAAAAGAATTTTTAATATTTGCTTTCTCATGATTGGCTTATATATGGAGTATCTGATAGCCATTTTTCCATATTTTCCACGCAAATACCCTAAAGCCATCCCAACCAGTCTTCCGAGGGGTCTTTCGAACGCTCGTTTTACGTGTTCCGATGGGCCTCGAACGCTTATTTCGAGGGATCGAAGTGCCATTTTCCGAGGGATCGAGCCCTCGTCGAGGGGGTTTAGTTCGAGTGCTCGTAACCTATCGGAATTTTTTGTTTTTGATCTCTCGAAATGACCTTTTAGATGGGTTCTAAACGCCATCTAAACGCTCGAAAACTATGGAGAAAAAAGCCATGCCCTAAAGCCATGCCATTAACTTTAGCCATTGACTTTAGCCAAAAGTCTAAAGTCAATGGCATGGTAGAATACCCACTTATTTTCATAGAATGAAGTACAGAAGAAGGTTTCGACAAATATAATCGAACCTAGAGACCGCTCAAAATCATTTTCTGATTTTCATAGTCGAATACCTATTGCGCATCATTCTCATCCAGCGAAGTTAAGCTGACAGTTTCGACTAATAGAATCGACCGTAGAGGTCGTTCACGCTCAGTTTCTGATTCCCATACTGGACTGCCTACTCCATATCATTTTCATCCAGTTGAGTGGACATATAAACATACAAACATACGTAGAAACATTCAAACGTACAGGCATTTTAACCCCATAAGACCCTTCCCTTTACAATCAAGGGAATAAACATTTCGGCCAATAGAACGGCGCGCAGAGGTCGCTCATACTCATTTTTCGATTCACCATAGTGGCTACTTACTGCATATCATTTTCATCCAATCAAGTTTTGCTCTACTAGTTTGTGTGTCACTATTATCAAGTCTGCGGACATACAAACATACCGGCATTTTAACTCGATAAGACTCTTTCCTTTACAGTCAAGGGAATTTCAAGAGCTATTCTAAATTAACACTCAAAGTAAAAGGTTAGGTTACTAAGGCTTTAAAGTAAAAGGTTAAGTTAAGGCTAAGTTAGACAAAACGTGAGCCTCAAACTTTGACTTTCGATGTAAACTAAGTGAACAAAGACGTTTTGATAGGAAGAGTCAAGCATTTATAGCGCTGGATTTGAGAGCAAAGTTAGTGAAAGAGAGCAAGAAGAATGCAAAGGTTTCAAAATGCGATCCGTAGCAGATTTTCTTGTAACAAAAACAGAAAATATGTTAGTGTTTATTCTTAAACTGGGTGTATATATTTTAATGTAGTGGACCGGCCCCAGATCATCCATAGCACAAGTGAAATCTCGCTTAAATAACTTCGTTTAGTGGACAAATCGAGAAAAGCAAATGCTCTAATTTTTGCTTTCCTCTCTAGTACCCATTTCTTCACCAGGATTCAACAAAAATCAGGACGTTTTCAGAAGAACTTTTAACTAACAAGGATTATGCTTTGTATTCTGGTTACTTTTCGCTCTTAAAATAAAATCATATTACCTGAAAAGTTTTTGCTGGATATGGTATTTTGTTTTTATTTTGAGAAGAATTATTATAACGATACCGCCAAAAGAATTGCTCAGCTCTGCCAAATGTATAGTCAGATCGTTCGGGTGGTGTGTATTGTGTTGTTTCAGGTTTAACCGTCCATTGAACATTTGCATCATTTAAATAACCACCAGCAAACAATTTTCATTCACAAGTAGCTATAACATATCCATCAATTGTTGAATGACAATAATGTGGTGTTGTTGGTCGATGCATTGATGAAACTTCATATTCTGGTTTTCGAAATTCTTGAACTTTAAAATAATGTGTTTTATTAGTTGCTAAATCTGATAAACTGAAATGTATAGAACCATCACCTAATATAAATATAAATGCATGATCGATCAATTTTATATAATATCTTTAAACTCAACGGAATCCCAAGAGCAGCAGTCTTTCAAGAAACTACTGCTAGCATAAATAATTGACTTTAGAAATGTTCATTTTTTTCTAAACGCCGGTAGATAAAAGGAGTAGTACACAAAAGTAAGGATATCTCTGGCCCTTTTAGAATCATAATAGCTGGTGCCTTCAGATCGTGTGTGGGTGCAAGATGGAAAAAACGCAGACTTTCAGTGGAATTTCTTTTCGTAGTTTTGCAGATCATTCGATAGAGACTTCAACGGCGGTCACGAATATCACAAACCCGCTTCCCAAAATCATTTCCTCGCTGAGATAATCGCAAAATACTGCGAAGGGCCCGAAAACCCGAAAAATGCCCGCTTTTAGCAAAAGTTCTGCAGTTTCGTCAAGAAACATCGCAGAGCTTTGCGGTTTCGATATTCAGATTTAGCACTAAAAGCTAAATCTGAAAATGTACCTTTCAAAGCAACCGGGCCAAAAATGGATTTTTGGCGAAGGTAAGCCGTGTCGCGTTACACATATAAACTCTGCGAGGTTTCCACTGTGTGGAAGTTGAGTTCTGATGGAGAAAATTGCGAATTAGGGTCAGAATTCTGATTTTTGCCAGTAAAGTCGAGTTTACTTAGCGAGGAAAAGGAATTTCGGAAAAAGAGCGTTGTTGTTTTAAAGCTCGCAGGCTGGCGCATCTAGCCATCTCAAAATATTGGGCCTACGACTTTCCCCAAAACCTGGAAAAACCTCGCAAAGTTTATATGTGCAACCCGACATGGTTTGGTTTCGGGCTTCGCCAAAAATCCATTTTTGATCCGGGAGCTTTGGAAGGTACATTCTCAGATTTAGCTTTTAGCGCCAAATCTGAATATCGAAACCGCAAAGCTCTACGATGTTTCTTGACGAAACTGCAGAGCTTTTGCTAAAAGCGGGCAATTGTTTTGTTTCGATTTTCTGACCTACTTAGCCTTTCGAAGGATTTCAAAAAGTATACCAGTGGATAGAGAATTAATTTTTCTACAAAATCCACTATTGATTCTGTCAAAGCAATCTTAAAAAATGCATTTTACACACTAAACACGTTTTTACTGGGTTTTGCCCAATTCCAAATAGTATTTTTTTTGGAGCAATTGTACGAAAATCACGAACATTTCTCCCATCGTTCTTTTTTGCTTAGTTTGACAGAGAGCACTCTATTGCATAGGGCACCATGTAAATTAAATTTATATAAGTCATTTTACCGGTAGAAATATAACAATAAAATGCACCGTAAAACAAAGTAAAATGATGATGTAATTCTGTCATGCAGCCATTTCGCTTGTATATTTCCCTTTAAGCTTTTTTGCGTAAAAGTAAAGAGATGATTCGAAAGTTCTATTCATGCTCTACAACTTTTATGTTCGACCTTTTTACTGAATTTGTCTTGTTTTAGAGCATTTTTCAAAGTTTGTAGAACATTGGAAAGAAAAGGTTAAAAAATGTAAGTATAACGAGATCGCACAAGTTAGTGCAGCTCCAGTTCCGCTCAAAATGTTCGTCGGCACGTGCTGGATCTACTATGTGTGTGCGAAAATACGTATAATTGCCTACGTCAAAGTATAGGTTTTCCAAAAATCCTTCGGTCACTTAGCTATTTTGAGATTTTCTCGGCACAGAAACTCTTGTATTAAAAATAGGATGGTATTTGGAATGAAGGTGAAGAGCTACATCGAGGGATGTATCACTTATTAGTTTTATAAATAAAACATTGTTTCCCAAAAGTTCAGGGCAAGGGTCCGCCTCACGACAAAGGCAAAGCAGTGAATATGAAAACAAAATTTTACCTAAGTTAACGTTATCAGGTAATTTAAATTTCATGTCAAATGCACCATAATTATTCAATCTCACTTTTGACTCTTCAAGTTTCTGGCCACGAGAATCATTAATTGTATAATGAATTGTACCTTGTGCATAAGATGGTAATTTTGCTTCACTTTCTTCTTTCAATAATCTAACATAACCTTTTATATGTACATCTTCATTTGGCTTATATAAACCTCGATCATTAAATACGTGCCATACATAAGCATTAAAATTTGATTTACCATGATAAATATCTACTACCATACATGTATCTTCATCCTTTTCTACAACTAATATTCCTCTTTCATTGTTCTCTGTGCTGAGCGTTCGAATTGTGCATAGTCCTTGTTGATTTGTTTCTTGTTTTTTATCAAATACTGAAACAGTTGCTTGACTGACAGATGCGCCAGTCATTAATTCAGTAACCCATGCAGTTAAGATTAAGTCCATACCTATAGCAGAAAGAAACTTATAGTCAACACAATTTTGTTTAAAGAATAAAACAATAATGTTTTTTGACGAAATACTCTTCTACCTACATCGTTAAGAACAAATGCAGAGAAATAACAAAATGATTATAACAATCCAGGTGAAGAGATCCAACAAGACTCAAAACCACTCAATGAATATGGCAAACACGGTGAGCTTTGAGCTGACAATGAACATTCAGGGCTTTTCTTGCAAATTCTATAATTTTGCAAAAGAAAGGTTGTATAGAGCTGGGAGATGTCTCATCTTAAGCAGAAATCTGCGTGCTATAATCATGCCTTATTAAGACGAGGTTTTGGTTACTGTTTAGAGTTCTTGAAAAACTGGTTTTCCAGGAAACCGGGTCTTCAGGAGCCATAGAGACGAATTCTTTTAGGCTTACTACCTCAATATATATTATCGATTGGCATATGAGCGAAAGAAAAATAAGTTGGACACCTTATAGGGTTTCCTCGTCATGAATGTCTTAGAATTGCTTTTATGTAATTATGAAACAGCTGTTAAAAACAGAAATTGCTGTTTTTTCAGAGATTTCGAAAGGGCATGTGACTGCCCTAGATGATAACTCGGTGATTTCAAGCAAAATCGACAAATGATGTTGAAGGCGTGTTTCTAGATGGAGCTTATATTTTAGGTGTATGTACTACAGATATACTTAGAAAGATACACAAAATATATCTTTTGGCAAATCTATATTCAGGATGTTGTACAATATTTATAAAGTCCTCCTCTGATTGAATAAAGGAGGATCGCGGATAAGACCGTTTTCTTGTTCACAAAATTTTCGAATTTTTTGCCTTGGAACCATGTTGGAGCATGCCCAGGAACATTTCCAGACACTAAGTTTCGCTAAATCTTTCTGCCAGGTTTTTGAGGCCCGAGATCCCCTCCAGAATTTCTGGAGAACTTTTGATTTTTGATTTTTCCCAAACCCATCTGATAATATCTAATCGGCTACGCTGATCACGAATACCCATATTAGAATATGTCCAAAATGGTTTGATAAGGCGTAATCTTCTCAATTTTCTTGTTTTCCGCCAGAAAGGGTATTTCGAGGTCCCCTAGCCGAGGAAGCATTGAAAAACTGAAATGCATAGTGATTCTGATGTAAAATTTTATGCTGAATCCGAATGTAAAATTACAAAAATTACAAAAGCTCAAACGTTCTTGAAAACCGGCCAAAACTCATGAAAATCGTGTTTTATGAGGGTATTTGCCCTAGATGACTCAGACAGAAACCCACGCACGTCATCAATTCTTTACCCAATATACAACTTTTCACGCTCTATCCGGCCTCAAAAACCTGACCGAGAGATATCGCGAAACTAAATGCCCTGGGCATGCTTTGACATGGTTCCAATGTACAAAATTCGAAAATTTTGCGGGTAAGAAAACGGTCTTATCCACTTTCCTCCTTGTCACTTTTCCAGCACATCAACTTCTGGAACAAAATATTTTGTCTGCATACATCGGTCTCCAAAAGGTTGTTTTGTACGTATTCGAGTTAAGGGGGGTCCCCCACTTATTTTTTTAAAAAAATTTTGAAACTTTTTTCGGGTTTTCTGTTCTGTTTTTAGAATTTTAATAAAAACTTCAGCTTTTTATATGAAGAGTTGATTCTGGCGTAGGTCAATAGAGAACATTACTTTGTATAAGGAGAAAAACTTTACATCGTTCTCAAATGAAGTTTGACGGAGAAATTTAACTTTCACCTTCCCGAGAAAATTTTAGAGCTAAAAGTATTTTGAAAAAAGCCTTACGGCTAGTTTTGCTCGAAGCAAGCATTTTGAAACAAAACTCTTGATACAAAAGTTGTTCAGAATCGATTTCCAGAGTCCCTCACGAGAGCTTTTTTTAAAATTTTCTGTTTTTGCTTTTTAAATTGAAAAATATGAAATTTTAGGATTTTGAAAACCGTAAAATTTAATTTAAAAACCAAAAACAGAAAATTTTAAAAAATGCTCTCGTGAGGGAACAACTCCTGAACAACTTTTGTACCAAAAGTTTTGCTTCAAAATGCTTGCTTCGAGCAAAACTAGCCGTAAGGTGGGGTAAAAAATCTTCGCTGAGCCAAAAAGCAGTGATATTTTCAAGGTTTTAATTTTTTCTTCAAGTTCTCCCAATTTGTAGAGGATACTTCAAAGTATATGTCCTGAAGTTTTCTCAGCTTACTTACATTATTTAACTGAGAAAAAAATTAATTACTTAAAAAATGTTGTTAAATTTTTGAGCACGGGGTTATTATTATAAAATTTTCTGCCCGTTCTCCATTCATCATGAAAACTTAGTTCTTGCCTAGATCGATGGAGAAATGTGTGCAGAATAGTTGCGACGAGAAAATATGTAAACATTTTTGTTCTTTTCTTCCGGTTATTGACTAATTAGTACTAATTAACGTTAATTTAGCCTACTCTACTAGCTTAAAGTCCCATGTGTAAAATAAGGACTCAACGAAAAATTCAAGCATTACCTCATCTAATAGAGAATTTCACGAGCTACAAGACAGGTCACCTTTAAGTCTGTTTTTATTCCATTAAAAATCTCAACATAGTCTTTGTTTCCAAAAAACATAGCAAAAAAAGTCTTCTCGGAATTAATGAAGTACGTAATACATAATGAAATTTTATTTCTGACTCTTCTTCGGAGTTTGAATAAGAAAGATCGTCCGACATCTGAAAATTTGAAATCTAAAAAACTTCAAATTGCCTTTGACTAG